TGCAACGACAACAACCATTCTAACTCGCCCAGGGCACCTCACCATGCGTGCAAAGCTTTTCTCGTCTGTAACCAGCAGGCCTAGGAGACCTCCACACCGGTCATTGAGTGGCTGCCAGATGGACTTCATGACCGAGCGAGTGCGATGGCACCTATCCCGCCAGCTGAGAGAAATATTGGGGAACTCTTCCACCAGGTACGGAAGAGCAGACTGCTCAGTTGGCCCGCCGTCTGCCAGGACGGAGAAGACCACAGACTGACAGGCAAAGACAGCAAAATTATGACATATGTGAGTTTAGACCTAGATAATACGTTGAGACCAAGATAATGTGATGAATCCAAAAACTCTGTTTCTCCTGCTGTGCCTGTACGTGGCGGTACAAATCCTCGTCGCAGACATCCCCATCACCATGGCAGGAATTGGGACCGCGTCGCCCTTGCCTCCGAGTGGCGGCTTGTCTGCAGACGTAGCGGACACTCTGGGCAGAAGCACGTGCGCCACCTCCTGGCTGCTCTCTGATGGCCCCGAGGAGGTGCTCGTAGACCCCTGAACTTGGCAGGTACTCGTTCGTGAGGTCACGGTAGTACCACCGGGCGATCACTAAAAGGAGACCATCCCGCACGTCCAGTGTCAAAGACCCGGCCGTTGCCTCCACGGGTTTAGGGTTTAGGGTATTTGAGAACACTGAGACTATTAACTGTTGATTGAGACCCGTAGACTAAACAACCGGAATCGGAAACAGGCCTTGGCCATGACAGCTTGGTCCTGTGTCTGCAGTGGTTCAGCCAAAGCCAGCAGCATTTGTTGGCAGACCCGACGAGACACGTCCCCAGTGTCACCAAAAATACTGGAGACCCTCAGAGACCTGGCGTAAGCTTCATAGTCACGGTAGGTATCGTGACGACTCACGATGAGGCCCGCGAGGTGAAACCTGTCCAGTCTCGGCACATCATCAGCCTCAGTAGCGACCGGCGTTTCAGAAGACCCTGGCGTGAGAGCCTGGACCATCTGACTCAAGGCAAGAAGATGCCCTTTCGAGGTCTCGTGAGTTTTGAAGTGTGACGGCTGAATCGCCGCCGCCGTCGACACTTCTAACCGGCTGAAGGACGACGGGTACTTCGCCGGAGGGAAATGGGAGCAAACCCAACACCCGGCAGCCCACTGAGACCAGGAGTATGGTCGCACACACAACCACGTCCGGCATCCGAGGGTTGGGTGCTGGAAGCAGAATCTTTTAGACCATGCCTTCGTCTCGTCTGGGCTGGCGGCGGTTTTTTGGCCTCTTCTCAATCGGCCTGCATACCCCATCTCGAAAAAACAGCGAGCACATGAAGACCTGCCGCAAGATTGCCAGTGCTGCAGGTCACGGTCGTACTCAACACCGTCAGGACCAGGCAGGATCCTTCAGCAACAGATTAAAACATGTCCCATATCATATATGCGATCAACACCTACGCAAAAGAGACCCAACTTCTGCTGATTGCAGTGGTGTTCCTTTGTATCTGCACGGGAATACCAAAAGGGTCGTCTCTCGCAAACACCGCTGGGGGCGGCAGACCTTGCTCTTCGCCAGCTTCTGAGGCCATGGTGGGCCCTATATGAGGCCAGGCAAAGCTTTTGGAAGGATCAAACAGACCTGATGTCATTAT